AGCGCGTGATCGTGCGGGCGGCAGCGTTCTGTGTTGACTGAAGTCGGTGGTGGCTGGAAGAGCTGATCGTAGAAGACCAGATTGGTGCCGCATAAATGAGATGCGGCCTGGCCAGCGTTTTGAATATGGTCGTCAGAGTTTCTTTCGCGCAGCCTAAGGATGTGCCTGCTAGAGCCTTGAGGACCTTGGTGCGTCCCTGTGGCACCCTTTGGTGGTTAGTATGACGGACCTTGTCGGATCCGACGATCGAGTTGTCATCGCTCAAAGCCTCCTGAGCGATGTATAGCATAAGGAACTGACACAATTAAGTGTCTGCTTGATTCAACCAACATTGTCAGTCAATGCAGTTAGTGAATTATTAACGAAACCGTAATGGCTACGTCTACATCGCTGGCCTAAAGAATAAAATAACGAGAAAAATAGCTAACCTCAACCGGCCAAAAATACTGCTGACTTTCTTCGACTTTGCGGTCTTTGATGATTGTTATAAAACCAGTAGATCCATTTACCTAAAGCACCGGACGTGGAATGAAGGAAGTTCATCAAGTATTTGCGAAATCTCGTTTATCGCCAAAAAACATGAATTATTATTATTTTAAAAGGTGTCAGAATTGATCGATTAATATCAGCCAATGTGGCGAATTTGTTATCGAAAAAATCGCTGATTTCGACATGAAACATAGATTTTATGCCGCCCTGCCTCCTCCTACCTCTCGAGAAAAAAAAAAACATTTTCGTGTCCTATTTTGTAATCCCCGTAAACTAGCTTAGTCAATCTAAAGAAATTTTCCTCAGTATTTCTTCCAGGCTTTCTTACGAGGTCTTAACGAGTTTTAATTCTATTGCCAGCTTACCGCGGTATCAGGTCAAATCAAATGTTGAGGACGAAGACTTCATCCCTAAGAAACCAGCTAAAAAACCGCAAACTTTCCTTGAGTCGCTGGCCTCTGAGTTGACCGCCAAGCAGATGGAGACAGTAACGACAGAAATGAAACGTGAGGAGAAAATCCGGGAGAGAATGCTCAAGGTAAAAAAATGGCAATTTATTTACTCCTATCCTATCGAATATCACTGGGTTCCCTTTTTTCCTCCGTTTGTCCGGCTCATGATATCTACTTAGAGTTAATGACTACTATTCCTATAGCAAAATCTTCATGGTGTTGTCTATTTTGAAGTATACAATCTTTCGACTGCGTCGAACGGCAAAGTCCAATATCCCATGATGTGAGCGCAGACTTGGTTTTCGCAGAATCTACCTAACTCATTAATGTGGCAAGATAAAGTTAAGACCCGTGGGGTTTGACATAGAAGTAATAGCTGGTAAATTCAAACAGCCTGTCAACATGTCGCAGACGACCAAGTCTCCATTCCGCAAGTGCCTGATTATATGTGACGGCTCGGATCCCATTAAGGGCCACATGAAAGGCAATGACAGTTTTAAGTACTGAGAGGAAACGAATTATTAATTCACTTTGCAATCTTTCAAGCGAATACTCTTAGCGTAGCGGGGTAGATTCAAGCGCCTCATATTTAGCGTAGTGAGGAATGTTCTGATTTATTACTAGAATGGTTTGCCAGTGCCCCTCTCAGTTTGAGGACGGGGGCTGTGTTTCGTAAGTTATCTTTCGTCAAGGTGCAACGGTCAGCTTGCGGGAGCCATGATTTCTCAGCATTTGTTTAGTGCGCCATCTTTTTCCCTCGGGGGGTGGTGGGTAAACCGTGGTACCCCTACACAGGACTGCTTAATTATCACAGGCGTCTGCCGAAGTCCTGTGTAGGCTACGCCTTTCGCTTAGTGCGAAGACGACCGCAATTATCTTAGGTCGTCTACGAGGTCGCTGTGGCTCACTCCGTAGGACCTGTGTTGTGTCGGTAGGGAGAATAGGACGAGACAGGACTACCGGGTGCGAAGGCACACCAGGCATCTTCATCTGTTTTAACCCGCCGGTCGAAGCGCTTACCTGGGCGTGGTTGCCTAGCCACACATAGTTTCAGGGAGCCATCAACAAGATTTAGATATCATTTTATGTCTGTGCAGAGCAATCACCACCTTCACCATGCTCATAGAACCACATTTAACTCCTATATGACATATCCCTTCATTGAACACCCGTCACCTTTCTCCCTTGTCATGCGCTAAAACCTGACATCAGCCCTGTATGCGGAACACTCTCGTGTCCTATGCAGCTGCCTCTTACTATTTTCCAACTTCTTTGTGTTTGCGTCTATCTTATAACCAGTACTCGCCCTCCGTGCCGTAGTGCTTTATGGGTAACTCATTACTTTAACTTCTCTTTCTGATACTCACCGTCAACGATTTGCAACTTGATAGGACCATTTGAATCTGACCCCATACATTGCCTTCCTCTCATTCGTGTCTGCGCAATGCTGGGCTGACAGTGATTATACCGATTAACCGCTCCGGCTAATGGTCGAAACTAGACGAGGGTACGCCTGTGTCTTCGATCAGGTGAAATGTGGGAAACCTGTTTCAGTCGGTAGACGAGAAAAAATCATGTTGTGGCCCGCGTTATGGTCACTTAATGAACTTTCAGTCTGCACCCAAGCCTATATCCAGGTATTTGCATGTAGTCTTGCCACTAAGACAACGAGGATGTACAAGAAATTGAGGTCGAGGCTGTAGACGTGTCTTCCGCACAAAAGCTGTTACTGTTCCTCAGTAGTAGTACATGACAGATGGACTATTGGATTTGTTAAACCGATAACCGTCATTTTTCTATCCAAACACGCTAATCCACGTTAAACTTGACTCTTGCCTAGCTCTACCAATCCGGACTTCATCGTGTGGATGTGCTCACCACAGCGGTCACCGTCATACGGAACATTAATTGGCCCGAGCTGCAACTGGACTTCCTCGAACAGAACTCCACCACCGTCTCCAAGCTCACCTTCAGCCTGCTCTCCAACCCCCTGCTG